GGTTCCCTGGTAGGCGGGCGCGCCCCGGGCTTGGCCTGGGTGCCCCGTAGGCAGGGGCTGCTCCAGCCTGGCCTGTGGTAGGGGGGAGGAGGAGGAATGGCTGCTCCAGCCTAGCAGCGGCGGGACGGGGAGTGCTCCTTCCCCTCCCTCCCACTCACTTTCCTTTTTAATCGGTTAACTGGTTAAACAATTAAAAGGGACTTTACATCCTTAATACGTAACAGTCAGCAGAAACTATTTGTACAGCCTAGTCAGCCTGATCCTGATTTCACTTACACAGGTATTTATAAGGAGCAACATCAGTGAAGATAATAGAAGTATGATAGTGCAAAAGAAGTGGGTGAGATTACAATCAGGGCTTAAGGTTAAACTCTGCTGTCTCTTATGACCACATGAATTTAGAAAAACTCCATTGAAATCAGAGTTATTCTGGATTTGTAAACTAGTGAAAGAAATGAGAAACAGGTCTACTAAGTTCTTAGAAGATATTTTGTTATCCTCTTCTATGTGAGAGAACTGTTATACTGTCAACAAATATTGGGATGTATTTATAGAAATAATCAATTTTTGTCATGTTGTGTCTTTCAGCCCAGATACTTATAGAATATTTAATACTGATATGCCAGAAGTGAGCATGAGAATAGAAAAGATCAATGGTGAATGTATACCTCAAAAGAATAAAAACTCTTTCCAGGAGTCATATTTACCAGAGTGGCGAAATAATCCCCAACCACATTATGCAAAATTAATTAACACCAATGTAAGATTCTTAAATGAACCAATTTACTATATGGAGACAGAAGGCACAATGGCTAAACAGGTAGGTTCATTTTGCATTATCTTTCTAATTAAGGTCATATTCTAAATAATATGTACATGTATTTTGTATAAAAGAACTTAATTAACTAATCCTAAGGATTTGAATGAACCCCTCACTAGTATGGAAATAGAGTATTAAGCCTTAAAATCTCTGCTTCACTTACTATGTTGTGTCTAGGTATTGCAGCATATATGCCATGATACTTGTATTAGCCAGGCACAAAGAGACAAGTGAGCTATATTTTGATTGTACTTGCTTTTGTAACTTTAAGTGAGATTCTTGGATTTACCTTGGCACACTGTAGTTTGTAATTTAATTTGATTATTTTAGTATACTAGTATTAAAAAAGAACAGTGATCCTTGAAAAAGATGTTTGCATATCACGTTTCTGTGGCTACATCTACAGTGTGGTGGCATGAAGAATACAGACACTGTGGCTGTGTCTAGACTGGCCAGTTTTTCCGGAAAATCAGCCACTTTTCCGGAAAAACTTGCCAGCTGTCTACACTGGCCGCTTGAATTTCCGCAAAAGCACGGACTTCCTACTGTAAGAAATCAGTGATTCTTGCGGAAATACTATGCTGCTCCCGTTCAGGCAAAAGTCCTTTTGCGCAAAACTTTCACGCAAAAGGGCCAGTGTAGACAGCTCAGATTTGTTTTCCGTTTTCTGCAAAAAAGCCCTGATCACGAAAATGGTGATCGGGGCTTTTTTGCGGAAAAGCGCGTCTAGATTGGCACAGACACTTTTCCGCAAAAAAGTGCTTTTGCAGAAAAGCGTCCGTGCCAATCTAGACGTGCTTTTCCGAAAATGCTTTTAACAGAAAACTTTTCCGTTAAAAGCATTTCTGGAAAATCATGCCAGTCTAGACGCAGCCTGTATGCCTGCTAGCGCAGGTATAAATAGCAGTGTGGACAGTGAGACCTGGCTTAGGAGTGTACTGTACTCTACACTTCTGAACCCTCAGGATATAGACCATACATAGCTCTCCACACACCCAAGTAGTGCCTCCATGTCCACACTGCTATTGGTAGCAGTGTAATGTCCCACTGCTGGAGCCTTTCATTCCAGTAGTAAAAAGGAAAGGCCTTTCCTCGACACAGTGGCAGGGAACGGAGAAGTAAAAAGAATTTCAGTGCAGGTCAGAAGAAGAGGGGAAAGAAAGATGCTGGCTGTCTATGAGATCGTATCAGTCAAACTTCAGACTAGGCTAATGTTCTCCTATTTAGGAGTCAAGAGTGTGCTAATAGCAGAAGTAGTTGGGAAAACTTGTGGCGGATGGAGGCAGAATTGGTGAAGCATTCAATCAATACTTGCTTTATGTCTGGGTGTGTCTAAACCACACCCCTCTGCCAACAGAGGGATGTAGATTAGGCACTTCGAAAGTGCAAATGAGCCTGGGCTTTAAATATCCGGGGCTTCATTTGCATACTCACGTTCGGGCGCTGTGCCGATCATGCGCCCCTTCGAAAGGGGAAATAAAGTCTAGCTGCGGCTATACCGACAGCGGGGAGCTTTTTTAACAGATCCCTGTATTTCTCAAAAAAATGTGATCGGCACAGCACCCGTCTAAACTTTACTTTCTCTTTCGAAAGGACGCGTGATCGGCACAGCGCCCGACTGAGAGTATGCAAATGAAGCCCGGGATATTTAAATCCCGGGCTCATTTGCACTTTCGAAGTGCCTAATCTACATCCCTCTGTCGGCAGAGGGATGCAGTCTGGAGGTAGCCTCTTAAGTATTTGGAGAGACATATTATGTTCTTCCCTTTAAAGCATCATTGGTGGCCAAGAGGAGAACCATGTGTACATCATTATAGTCCAACTTACGACAGACAGAGCACTCAAAGAAATGATTTCCAGAAACCCACTTGTACATTGTCTTCCCCAATTAAATACAGCAGTAAACTACAGCCTTCCTGTGGAATAGGTAAGAATCTATACAGACGCCCTTTGTTTTTCCCTGTATACCAAGTGAGATAAAGTACAGTTCTGAGTTAGTAACAGTGTTCAACAATAAAAGATGAATATGTGCCAACAGTTTTATCATTCTATTTCCACAGGTTTTTTTCCCTATTCAGAATATAGCAATAACAAAGGTATTTCAGGGGCTTTTGCTGTTTGGATCAAGTTTTGATCTTAATTACCCCAGTGTATATTTGGAGTGACTTCACTGGAGTCAATTGAGTTAGTCTGGATTTACAACAGTGCAAGTAAGAGCTGAGACTCTGTCTATCTCGCCATCTTTCTTACACTTATCATTATGATGTCTGAACACTTAGCAAATGTTGTCCATTTAATAACAACTATATATAATATCCGGTTGGCAGAGCTGCATGCTACCCGGTCCATCTCCAGGTGGCGGATAGGAGGGGGCCTCTTTTCAGAGGTTTGCTGCAAAATAATTGCACTTTGTCGTATGAATATGCAGCTGCGGACCAGCAGCGGCTACATTACCAGGGTTTGATGGGACATTGGGTGATATCCGATGCTCTTACTAAAAGTCACAAGTGCCCGATGACAAGGTTGTGACATGGTGAGTGCAGCCCACCATCAAATAAGGCTTCCCTACCCCCTCACTGCTGGTTGAGGGTCTGGGATACTTGGGTCTCTGGATTACTTTGGATAATCTGATTGGCGTATGAACCATGATTGGTCACCGGCATCCAAGGGATAGTGACTCCTTACATCACCCCAAGGAAGAGAAACTTGACAGAAAATTCCCCACTGCCTTGTAAACCCAGACAGATAATCTGGAGTGGAGACCAGACCCTAAGGCAGTTAACAGTGAGGTTTCATCCAATCTGCTTTTCCAGCATCTCCTGCCGTCAACTCAGTTCTTAACATATTGGCTCTTGTCTTTCCTTTGGATCTAACTGGGGCAACTGAGAGGGGAGTAGTGCCTCTCGGGCAATGCACTTTTCTCAAACACTAGCCCAGGCAATGCAGCGCACAGAAGGAGACACTTACCCACACACAGCTATACACCGCTACTACAGTCGATACAATAAACCAACTTGCCTCCGGCTTGGTACCTGGAATGTGCAGACCATGTGTCCCAATGGGTGAGGCATTTACTCCGATGAGTGTACAATACATCCTAAATTTGATAACCTCATTCCAACTCTTCCAGAAATATTAGTGCTAGATGTAGAGCCTACGGTGGAAGAGCTTTCCAAAGTACTTGATGCTCTCTCCATGGAAAAGCACCAGGTAACGATGGGATTCCAGCTGAAGTCCTGAAGGCTAACAAGGCTGTCCTCATCCCCTTCCTCTATGACTTACTTAAGAAATGTTGGTGAGCGGGGAGGTCTGTCATGATATGAGGGATGCAAACATCATTACAGTCCCCCTTATCACCTTTATTTTTATAGAGAGTAACAACTACAGAGGCATCTCTTTGCTAAGCATTACAGGTAAAGCATTTGCCCATGTCATTTTTAATCTCCTGCAAAAACTCACAGATCGAGTCTATCCAGAAACACAGTATGGCTCTGGGACTGGCAGGTCAACAATGGACATGATTTTTTCTCTACAAGAAAAATGCACAGAGCAAAGAAAGCTGCTGTTTATAGCATTTGTGGACTTAGCAAAGGCGTTCGATACAGTCAGTAGATCAGGACTGTACAAAGATTGCCACAAAGATTAACTAAGATTGGCTGTCCACCAGCTCTACTCAAGCTCAAAATATCTTTTCATGACGATATGAAAGCAACAGTGTACTATGATGGATCTACATCTGAACCCTTTGTGGTGAAGAGTGGAGTCAAACAGGGATGTGTCCTTGCTCCTACCCTTCTTGGTATATTCTTCTCAGTCCTATTAAATTGTGCATTTCTAAACTCACTCAGTGATGTATTTCTCAACACAAAGTTAGATGGTTCTTTTTACAACCTAACACGACTCAAGGCTAAAATTAAGGTCAAGAAAGTTCTTATTAGAGAAGTCCTATTTGCAGATGATGCAGCGCTTGTTGCACATAATGAAGACATGCTACAGGCACTGATGGATTCTCTTTCCAGTGTTGGTAAACTGTTCTCTCTCGACATAAGCCTGAAGAAAACTAGTGTTTGCTCAAGGTGTATCTCAACCACCAAAGGTCATTCTGAATGACAGTTCATTAGAGGTGGTTCAACAATTCCGTTACCTTGGGTCTACTGTCACCACAAATCTCTCCATGGATGAAGAACTGAACATCAGAATTAGGAAGACAGCCACAACATTTGGCAGACTTACGAAATGAGCATGGAACAATCCCAAACTGACATTGAAAACAAAGATACTGATATACCAAGCGTGCATATTAAGTGTCTTGCTTTATGGATCTGAGACCTCGACTACCTACTCATGTCTAGAGAAAAAATTGAGCAGTTTTCACCTTCGCTGCCTTTGCAGAATCATGAATATTAAGTGGCAAGACAAAGTTTCAAATGTAGATGTCCTATCAAGAACTGGCATACCCAGTCTCATAGCAATCCTTAACAACAGAAGACTCCGGTGGCTTGGCCATGTGAGGCGAATGAGTGATAAACACCTTCCCAAAGAAATCCTCTTTGGTGAACTGGCAAGAGGAAGGTCAAACTTAAGATTCAAGGATATATGTAAAAACACTATGAAAAGGTTTAACATCAATCCAAGCTCTTGGGAATCTGTCATCAGATTGTAACACCTGGTGACAATTATTACAACAGGGCACGTCATTTTTCGATAGGACCTGTGCAAGTCATGCAAAAGAACTCTGCCTCAAAAGGAAAAATTCTCAGACTCATGAAAACTGAAGTAGACTGGCATGTAGTTATTGTAATCAACTGTGCAAATCCAGTATTGGATGCATAAGCCATGAAAGAATTTGCAGATTCTCTTAGATTGTCACTGCCGCTGCTTACCACCATCTCTCAAGGCGAATGGGCCATATAATATAAATACTGCCTATTGGCTTCTTCTCTTCTGCAATTCGCAAACAAATTCTTTCAGAATATACAAATTATAGCAATGTCTAATTTTTAAATGTAGCAGGAGACCAAACTGCAAACAATCCTTGAACTATTCCAATCTGTTGCACATGTATTTGGTCTTCATAATCATTCTCCAGATATTTTGAATGAATATTTTGATCAGAAATAAGCTGTTTGCGCTGAATGTTCTCTCTTTTTGTGGTCAATCACCAAACTGATGGTGTTTCTAAATATTGCATGTTCTTATGCTTAAAAAGTTCAGTCAAATAAAGAGTGAATACAATTGAAAGTTGTTTATGCCCCAAACAAGACACATAAAGTAACTCCTTTGCCTTTCCCACAGCTGTGCTGTAGAACAAAATAATAAAAGTAAGCCATTACCAGATTTGCTAAAACCTCCCAAGTGGGAGCTGAACCTCCGTCATACAGTGTTATAATAATGACTGCTCCAGCCCCCACTAGTTAACTGTAACCAGTAAGCATCACCCGGGAAGGGAGATGATTACCGCTTAACCATTCACTTTCCTAGAGCTAATTAGCCATGATTTCAACATTAGTAACAGCAGGAGTGGCCCAAGGCAGGCTGCGGCAGCTGGCGCCCCAGGCAGAACGCACGATCAGCGCCCTCGCCTTCACGGCCATCAATGGGGTGACATCATTATCGGGCACCCCCTGAGTCATCCCTAGGCGATGGCCGAGTTGGCCTATAGTCACAGGCTGCCCCTGAGTAACAGTTTCCTATTGAAAACTATAGGCTCTGTAGAACTGTGGTAATTCACTCAATAGCAGCTGTTGTACTGCATTTTCTGATTCCATACATATTTCTTCCAAGGGGGCAACTGGTCGTCAGACCAACACCCTTGTTGGATATGCCAGGATTGAAAAGATTGCTGCTTACCACTTTATGGCATTCAAGAATACTGCAATGACAAGAATTTAGTAGCAGTCCTGAGGAATTGTAGTATCAATGTGCTACTGACGAGTTGCATTGTTCTCGACCAAAACATGATTTATCCCTTTAATGACTATTTAAATGTTAGAAAACATGACAATATGCAACAATGTATTTTGTGTTTAATGACCCACCATTATTTTCTACCAACATTGGTGCAGTTAGAGAATTGATATCACTGAAAAAAAAATATTGGCTTAGATGCTCTGCAGTACTGTTTCCACAAACCAACATGGAACCTGGACATGAATAACTTTTAGAATGTAGTTCAGGGACAGCCCAGTTGGAGAGTTTAACTAGTTCTTGTTCTCTATGCAGCCTGAACAGCACAAAGTGAGTTGAACAGACAGGAGAATCTTAGGCTGATGAAGCGCTGAAAAACTCCAAAGCATTTTAGATATTATATATCTAGCAATCACTTCTCCACCTGGAATTAAAAATGGGAACCAGGGGCAAGCAGAGCTCGCCTTCCCTTTTAAAAGCAGAGAGAAAATTCTCTCTCTTTGGTCTAGCTTGAGGCAGTACTACACACTTGTAGCTCTCTCCTCGTCGGTTGGTGAGGGGGACTCATTCAGCAAGACAATTTGAAGTTAGAGCAGTGGAAGCTAGTTGTTGGCTCGGTGGAGTCTGGTGCTTCTAACCTATAGACACCAAGTAATAGCAAGTCCGCTCCCACATGCACACAAGTGTGCACTGTAGTCTCCATAGGCAGGGGCCGTACTAACAGAGCCAAATCCACCGGTGTGGTGTATTCTATGTGAGGGAGAGGATACAGGAGTCTCTGCAGGGAACTGTGATTCTCCGCCACTGTGAGATGGGCCAGGCATCTCAGTATCCTTTGCTGCCTTGTCCCTCCTTGAACTGCCACAGTGTCTGCTCCACACGAAGCTTGGTGTGTGTGAGCACTGGGGCATGAGCATAGTCCATCACCATTATAGTGTTCTTAATTTGTTTAAACTGGTTTAAATAAAGTGCATGTATCTAGATTTCCAATACTGTAAGCTTATGTTTGTATTGCTAAGA